GTGACCAGCCACCCTCCCCTCCCTCCCCTCCCTCCCCACCGATTCCTTAAATTGGAGCAAAATCTCTCCATCTTTCTGTTTAGGGGGGGTCTCAGCTGGAAAATGTCTCCCCAAATTAATGGAGTCTGCCTTGAGTTCCTGGTGAACTTCAGACACTGACATTATTGTTGTTATTATTATTGTTGTTATTGTTTTGTTTTTATTATTTTAAAGGTAAAGGGACTGTTGAAGGCAGGAGTATTTCCTGTTTGAATCAGATGGAAAGTGTGGAAATGGTTTTTGGTTTTTGGTTTGTTTGGGGTTTTTTCGTTTATGTTTTATTTGTCGGGCCTGGGCGCTGTCCCTGAGCCTCTTTGTGCTGAAGGCTGGCGCTCTACCAATTGAGCCACAGCTCCACTTCTGGTTTTCTGGGGGTTTCTTGGAGATCAGAGTCTCACAAAGCCTGGCACCAGTGGCTCACACCTGTCATCCTAACTACTCAGGAGCCTGGGATCTGAGGATCACAGTTCAAAGCCAGCCCGCGCAAGAAAGTCCATGAGACTCTGATCTTCAATGAACCACTCAGAGAAATGGAAGTGGCGCTGTGGCTCAAGTGGTAGAGCGCCAGCCTTGAGCTGCAGAGCTGAGGGACAGCGCCCAGGCCCAGAGTTCAAGCCCCACAACTGACAAAAAAGAAAAAAAAAAAGTCTCACAGACGTTCCTGCCCGGGCTGGCTTTGAACTATGATCCTCAGCCCTCAGCCTCCTGAGTGGCTGGGATGACAGGCGTGAGCCACAAAGCCCGGCATTTTCCCCAGTCAGCTCCGGTTGCACACTCAGGCAGGGCTGTGTGTGTGTGTGTGTGTGTGGTGGCCATATCCCATTTGTGGGGCTCTCAACTCGGCTTGGAAGGGGGGGAAAGGGGGAGGGCTGTGATCGCAGGGAAGGCAGCCCCCCCCCTGCCCGTCTGCCACTCTTGGCTCCTGCGGCTTTGTCCACAGCAGGAGCCTGGGGATGGGGTGGGGGGCAGCTTAGGAGGGGCGTGGAGAGGGCAGGCAGGGGGAGGCAGGGCGGAAAGGGTTCCCCGGGATGGCCTCAGGGTGGTCCCCCCTGAAGGGTGTTCAGTTTGGCTGGAATTACAGGAAGCCCTGACCAGCCTCACAGGCCTCCCCGCCCCCAACAGCCAGACCTTTCCCAGCTGGTCTGGGGCAGGCCGCTCAGGTCAGGGACCAGGAGAAAGGGGACCCCCTGGGGGTGGCTCATATAAAGAGATCTCCTACCAGCCGGGCGCTGCCTGCCATCCCAGCTAACCCGGGAGGCTGCCATCTGAGGATGGGCGGGAAAAGTCTGGGAGACTCTTACCAGCCAAAAGCTACAAGTGGAGGTATGGCTCACATGGTAGAGCGCCGGTCTTGAGTGCTTAAAGCTCAGGGACAGAGCCCAGGCCCTGAGGTCACGTCTCAGGACTGGCACAAAATTTAAAAATTAAATACGCAAAGGACCCCATATCCTTATGAAACACCATAATGCTGTGGTCAAGACAAAAGTGGGGGCCGGGCCTGGTGCCACACACCTATAATCCCAGCTACTGGGGAGGCTGAGATCTGAGGATCGAGGTTCAAAGCCAGCCTGGGCAGGAAAGGTCCATGAGACTCTGATCTCCAGTGAACCACCAGAAAACCAGAAGTGGCGCTGTGGCTCAAGTGGTAGAGCGCCAGCCTTGAGCTGAAGAGCTGAGGGACAGCGCCCAGACCCAAGGCTCAGATGGGGTTGGTGCTGGACCGCAGAGTCCCCGGGACACAAGTCCTGAGCCCTCGTTATCTCTAAACAAAGAGGGAAGAAAACACACAGATGGCCCGGCTGGCGCTGTCCCCAACTCCTCCCCTCCAGACAGCTGCCCTGCCCAGGGCCTGGCCGGGAGGGAGGGAGGGGGGGCACAGAGGCGGAGGCACCCCAGCAAAGGCCCTGGTGGTGCGGACAGCTCTGAGCTACCCACCGTGGCCAGAGACCCGCTGCGGTGTTTTCCCTTCAAAATCATGGCTGCTCTCCGGGTCTAAGGGATGTCTGGGGGGGGGGGGGGGGCGGTCAAGGGAAAGGTTAGTGCTTTGATGAGGAAACAGCCTAGCAGGACAGACAAACAGACAGACAGACAGACAGACAGCGCCTTGGGCTTTCAACATCAAGGAAAGTCCCTGGGACTCCTGTGTGTGTGTGTGTGTGTGTGTGTGTGTGTGTGTGTGTGTGTGTGTGTGTGTGTGTGTGTGTGTGTGTGTGTGTGTGTGTGTGTGTGTGTGTGTGGTGCAGGCTTGGAACTCAGGGCCTTAGCTTGGAAATCCTGTGCTCTCCCGCTGGAGCGTTAGTTCTTCTTTCAGATCGGCCCTGTTCGATCTGCAGAGCTGGGACTACAGACGTGGTCTTGACCACACATTGGCCGTTAGTTACTCACTTGGCTGCTGGTGAATTATG